AATAAAAACTTTTAATTATTTTTATTAATAAAAACATAGATAAAAATCAAGGAAGACATCTGACATCAACCTTGAGCCTCCACACACAAATGTGCACACACATGCAAGTGCAACTACCCAGGCATTCACATTCCTACAGGAGAACATGCATAAACACAGATACACAAGCAAAAAAATAGCCTATAAAAAACCCATTTAGTGCTTGGCACACTGAAGATACAATAAATTCAAGATTTCCTTTTTAGACTTCTTTTAAATGTAGTCAGATAAGAAAATTGAAATATGGTAGAACAAATGCAGAGTGAGAGCACTTTAATTATCTTATCTTTCATGATTTTTTTCTCAAATAATGAACTTAAATATTTAGTTTACATCTAATCTTTAAAGTACATTTATTCTTAATCTCCTCTATGATGCAAATTTAACATTCTCTGTTCATTCATTTACCTAATTAAGAAATCTGTGCCTATAAGTCAACTGTAGATTACACTTAATGATTCAACAAAAGCTTATTAACAGCCTATTATCTGGGTGAGACTATCATTTAGAGGATAGTTTATGCAGATACTACTGCGTAGCTTCTAGCATAGTTCTAAGATGGTTAATAATAATTTTTCATCTTGTTTAATAGTGAAGATCACTAGTGGATTTCACTGTTTGAGAAATCAAAGTAGCAGGGAAATAAAATTTATTGGCATGATTAAAGGCTAGGGTTCACTACGGCAACTATATTCTGCTGCTTTAGAAATTTTCAAGGCCAGGCTAGAGAGATGCTCAGTCGTTAAGGGCATGTACTGCCTTGGCAGAGGATTGGAATTCAGTCCCCAGCACCCACACTGGGTGGCTCACCACCACACATAACTCCAGCTCCACATGATCAGAGTCCCTGTTCTGGCCTCTGAAGGCACCCACACTCATATGTACATACCCATAAACACACACATTCATAAAACTAAAAACTAAATCTGTAAAACTTTTTCAAGAAAAAGTAAAAACTAATAAAATGAAAAGCATAATCACTGAAATTTCATAAACCATATTAAATGCCAATTTCAATCTTAGCAATCCGTCTATATGCTATAGATGTACCTTGGACAGCTGCCTGTGAGGAACTGTTCTGATGACACATAAATCAAAGCATGGAAGCTTTGTCTTTCAGTCCCTGGCTTACTTTAAATAACCAAATGTTCTCCATTTTCACCCATGCTGTTGCCAATGACATGGTTTCCTGCTTTAAGACTAGAGAACATGCGATGTCCATATTACACAGTTTTCATCATCCAGTCACTGATGGCAGACCTTTTGCTTGTTCTACTTCTTAGTTATCAAAACACCATGAAATAAGCAAACCTCCTACAGGTCCTACTTTCAATCTTTCTAGAAAAAACACGGTGCAGCAGGATTACTTGATCAGTATTCTTTCTATTTTTACTTTTTAATTTTATGCTTTGTTGTGGTTGAATTTTTTTGTTTGCTTGCTCATTTTATTTTTACTGAGCTATGTGGTACAATGAGGGTGGGCTGGAACTTTCTGTTTAGCCCCAGATTCACCTAAAAGCCTTATGCTGTTTAATTTTACATCAACTTGATGGGATCTAGAAACATAATGGAAACAGAAATCTGGTCAGGGAGTTTTCAGATTGGGTTATCTGAGGAGGGAAGACCAACCATTTTTGGTGTCATTTCATAGGTGAGAGTCCTTGACCACAGTAAATTTTAAAAGTGAGCTAAGCACCAGATTTCAAATCTCTTTCTCTGCTTACTGACTGTGGATGAAATAGGATTGGTTGCTTCAAGCTCTTCCTACCATGATGTTCTTGACATGATACCCTCAAACCATGCACTAAAATCTAAAATCAACTTTTTCTTAAATTGCTTAGCCAGGCATTTTGTCACAGCACTGCAGACGGGTGCTGTGGTAACTGGTTCAAAAGGTCAGATACATAGTAAGCTGGTAGCAGAACTTGACTGTGTTTTCTGTGTGGGACTGGCTTGAAAGGCATAAAAGATGCAAGACTGAGAGGGGCATTTCAAAGACCTGCTGATGTAGCATGGTGCTAAGAAAGTAAAGCCTAGATTGCAATGGAGACCCAAGGTTGTATAATTGTCAGAAAGGCCATCTTCTGAGGAAGGCTGACAGGACAGAGTGGAGATGCCCAAGAGAGAGTCTATGTTGCTACGGGCAGCAGAGCTGGGTGAGAATACTGAAGCCCCTTAAGAGTCCATCATCAGGCCCAGATATTAAACATGGAGCTGAAAGACTTCTGTTTACTTTCCTGTGCTTTGTCCTCACTTGGGTGTGACCTGTTCCCCTCGTTTGGAATGGGACTATTTATTCTGTACCATTGTTTGCTGGATGTAATGAGATTTTTTTTTTATGTAACTGGGGATAGGTACCACTTACATTTCTGAATGATGTTGGAACTGTTAGCAACTATGGAGACCTGGGAAGGTAAAATCAGTATGTTTTCATTGTGAGATGGAAGTGAAACACTAGGGGGAAGGGATGGGAATGTTATGATTTTAAAATGATATGATTGTTAAGTTGGCAAGAGATGTGTTGGCTAATCTTGATTGTCAACTTACTGGGATTTAAAATCACCCTGGAAACAAATCTCTGGGCATGTCCATGAGGGAATTTCTAGATTTGGCTTAAACCAAAAGGGAAGACCTTCCTAAATGTGGGTAGCACCAATGACACACTGGAGAGCCAGACTGAATAAAAAAATGGCAAAGGGAGCAAAAATCAGCATTCCTCCGTCTGCCTCCTGACTGTGGACACCTGTGACCAGACACCTGTGATCAGACACCACCTGTGATCAGACACCTGTCTCCACACCTTCCCCACCATCATGCACTGCACCCTTAAACTGTGAGCCAAAATAAACTATTCTTTATTCCTTGATTAAATTACCCTTGCCAAGGGTTTTTTGTTTGTTTTGCTACAGCAATGAGAAAGCTAACTTATACATCAAGTTTTCTTATTACCAAGTTTTCTACTTTTGGCAGCATTTTAAATCTATTTTAGTATTTGATATTTTTTATTAAAATCATTCCCTCCCTAAAGAACTTGGCCTGTACACATGACATGTAGAGAGACTGCTTCTCGAACAACACTGATTAAATGACATTGAAGATGGGATTAACATGAAAACACTCCACTATTACAACTTAGCAATTCTGACACCTTAGTTCCGTTAAGACAGTATTCAGGATATAGAACAAACTACAGAAAAAATGATTTATAGAGTGGTATGATGAATTTCAATATACAATTTAAATCTACAAACTCACTTAAAACTTTATTTCTCTAAAAACATGTTGTTACTGTTTCCCTATAGTATTCTTCACATATGTAGTACTTTAAAAAATAAGGAAAGTGGGTCTAGAGAGAAGGCTCAGTGGTTAAGGGGATGGCCTGCTCTTCCGAAGGACCTACATTCAATTCTCAGCACCTACATGGAGGCTTACAACTTCTCTCAACTCTTGATCCAGGGACTACAATGTTTCTGACCGCCATTGGCACTACATGGTGGCATACACACACACACACACACACACACACACAGCACAACACACATTAAAAACAATGAAAAACAAAAAGGTTTTCATTGCTCAAACAAGCTATTATCAAAATAATACCTGTACTAACCCTAAACAAAAATATTTGACCCAAAGAGAGCTGAGCCACAATCATAAGTTATACCAGGGTTCATATTTTTTGTTTGTTCGAACCTAAATCTACTCCAGTGGGATAAGAAAGTATCCACCTATAGGCAACACTATATACTCAAAGACCTTACACAGAACACTGACAGAGTTTAAGGTTGCAGTTGACAAAGTAACATTGTGCCAAGAAACATGAGCTTCCTAGTTGTCAGTAAATTTATATTAACTTTCGATAACTATGAATCTCACATTTAATCAGAAATAATCTATAACTTGTGGTCTTTTTGTCTGTGACCCCCCCCCAGGATTACAATTAATTTATCTATGCCTAACCATACAGTTCAATGTCTTCAAGACTTAGAATGTTTGCATAGCATTCACAAGGCATTCACAAGGTTCACGTAGCATTCACAAGGTTCAACCACAAGCACCGCATAGCCTGGTAACGTATAAATCCAGAACCTTGGAGACAGAAGCAGGAGGACAAGAAATTCAAGAATTTGAGGCTAGCCTGGGCTACTTGAGGCCCTGTCCCAAATTTAAAAAAAAAATGTTAATTATAGACAGCGAAAATTATAGATGACTAAAATTCTTCACCTGGTGATAGAGTGTGTTTGTGGCCATTCTGGGATGCATAAGACCCTGCCTCAAAAAAAAGGAAGGACTGTTACCTAGAAATAACCAAGAGAGGGGACAACTCTTAAGGTAAGGTAAGCCAGAACAAGTGAAGAGTTGGCCATGGTCCCCTTCTTTCCTGCTAAACATCCTAGAACCCCAATTGAGTCTGTGAGGGTCCTTGGGCAACGCACAGCGACCTTGCTTCAAAAGATACCCAAGGAGACCGCCATGCGACCCGAAACACCGGGCCTGCGTGGATTTCAAGGGCCCCAGTCGCGCATCAGCTCTTGTGTTAGTTAGCACCACCGTGACCGGCGCCTCCAAGCTGAGCTGCACGGACCCACCTCACGGAATCCGAGTGGCCGCTGAGTGGAAAGGAAGCGCTAGAGGGCGCCCAGAACGCGAGCCTCAGCACAACAGCAGCCAGCCTGCGACGCTTTCTCAGCTCCACTCCGCCTCCCCGCGGCTGGGAGCGACGCCTCACACGCCTCGGGGACCGCTGGGACTGGTAGTACGTGCGCCCTGCCGCGGAGACTCACGGGACTCGTAGTGCGCCTCAGCCTACCGCAGAGGCTCATGGGACCTGTAGTACGCCCCGCCCCGCTAGAGCGCCGCTTAGCGGCGCCCTCCTAGTCTTCAGGTCCAGCTTCCGGTTTCGTCGCGCTGCGCTGGCACATAGCCTGTGCGCAGCGGCGACACCTTTGTGGGCGGCGGGGCGTTCCTAGACCCTTCTAGAACCGAGCTCTCGGCCTTGCCGCCCCTGAGCGGGGCAGCGGGCTCCGGCAGCCCCGGAGTTGGCGCGCGTGCTGCTGGGTAACAGGCCTGTTCGGGCGACTCCGGACCGCCCCTGCTCGGCTCATCCGTGACCTCCAGGGCCCCTGACTGCGGGAGCCGCGGCGGAAGACATGGGACTCCCTCGGTGCACCTGTGACGGCCACCTTGACGGGGGAAGCAGCGACGTCTTCGAGGAAACCGGAAGCCCGTGGTGACCCCTGGCGACCCGGTTTGTTTTCAGCCGGCTTCCAAACACTGGGGAAGCGAAACCCGGTGGCCTTGGGGACCGCCCTACGTAGCCAGGGTTCGGGGTGAGTGGATCGCTCGCGCTCGCCGGGACTGTGCAGACAGCCAGGAGGGGCCTGGTGGCTGTCGCCTGGCCAGACACACGTCGTTTTCCATCCCCCGCGCCCCTCTGCTCTACCGAGCGGCCCACTCTAGCATCGCTGGTCCCTGCCATCCCCACTGCCCCGCTTCCACAGGCTCTTCTTCAGCCTTTCTGCTCGGGGACTGCTCAAATTTTGTCCGTGCTCTGACTCGCTGGGAACGCTTTCAGTTTTATTTCCTGCACTGAGGTGGCATTTATATCGGGAAAGAGGGACGTGGGTACTGTCGGTGGCGTCTGGGAGTGACCGACAGTCTAACTTGTGTGTTTCAGTCTCGTTTTCCGGCTGGGTTGCAAGGTAGGCTAACACTGTGGTCCTCCTCGCAAGGAACTCGGAAAGCTCAAAAGTGAGATAAAATACCCATGGAAGCTACTAGAAATCAGAACAAAATGCCATGTGATGATCAAAAACATTGAGATAGTGGGGTTGAAATTGACCTCTGCTCTTGAAATACAGAAGAATCCCCCGTTTGAAGTTTAAGTTGGATCGAACAAAAATCTTAAAACATAGTTTCATTTCTTGTTCTCAAAAAATTGTTCTCGTTACCTAGTCCGTAGTGATCACTCCATCATCTTAAATGGGGAATAACTGGAATTATTCACTCAATGGCTACAGTGTGGTGAATGGCCTAGGTTTGTAAATGGACATTTTCATGTGAATGTGAGAGTTTCATTCATATCTGAAAGGCAGCATGTTGTCATGGGAATGTCAGTGGATTAGACGGAAAGCCCTGACATGTAAGCATCGACTTCTCCACTTCCTCACTTAACAGGAGGAAAGGGTTAAGCTGCTTTCTCTGAGTTTCTCCTTCCCCCTTTTCTGAAGTACAGGGTTTGCTTTCCAAAGGCACCCAGTTACAGATTCTAAGAGCTATGCTTGCTCTGAAGTTGGCAACTTATTTGTATGTTTAATTACTTCGCCTGTAAATTAAAGAGTGCTTACCCATATTAGTGTTTCTACATTGATTTAATGAGTTCTTAAAGAAAAAGTCAGGGGTGGTGGCACATGCCTTTAATAATCCCAGCACTGGGGAGACAGAGGCAGACTGATTTCTTGAATTCCAGTCTAGCCACTGCTATACAGTGAGACATCTTCAAGAAAAAAAAAACCAAGGTGAAGCCCAGTTTCTAGCATCTTAAGTGCCTTCACTAGAAGGGCCTCATGAATGGTGCCAGAGCATGCCGTGCTTAGTGAGTGAAAGAGTATGATTAAAACAAAAAGCTGACTAGGGTCAACATAACTGTAATGACACATTCTGAATTGAAGCTGGTTTTTATTGTCAAAGTAATTATTAACAACATGTAACATAGGTGTTTGTTTGCATTGAGATACATTATTTTAGACAAGAAATGGAAAAAAGGCTTCTCATGGTACTGTACTTGAGTCTTAAGATTGCTTGGCCATTAAGACTGATCTCTCGGCTTAATGGCAGTCAGTGAGTCAGGATCATAAAAATGAAAGTTGACATTTTTCATATTATATATCTGATATTGTTTTTGGACACTTAATGAACTACAAAGCATTTAGCTACTAAGGCACATAGATTTAAGTGCTGGCATCATTAAAAAAAGGGCACTTAGGAAACACTTTTAAAGAAACAGAAGCCATTCCTGCCCCTAATTATTTAAAGTGACAAGAAAAGGAATACCTTGTTATTTGCTGGTTCTCCATAAGATTTATTCTTTTTTTCTCCACTGTTTCTTAACTGATCTATATGAAGTGGGTTCTTGGATATCTTGGTTTTTCAGAGATAGAAAACCAATGGAAATTGTTAACAAGACTCACTTCAGGCAATGCACAGTAGGCCTTAGTTAAAGCCCATCTCTCTCATGTGAACAGGTGTGATTATAGCAAATATGCTCACCTTTCTAAGCCTGTTTCCTCCCCTGTGCTGTTGGTGGCGCCTTTCTTGCAAGATAAGGTATTTAACTTAGCAGTTTCTGGCACAACTCTTGAGTTTCTTTTTATTTTTTCAGGTTCCCATTCTGCATTTGGATTAAAAATTTGCCTACACAATTCAAAGAGATGATGTCTTAATGATACAATCCAACTCTGTCACATATAGGTATAAAAATTAAGATCCTAAGAGCTGAAGTGAAGTAGTGTATAATCAAGGTGACAGATCATAGACTAGAATTTGAGTTTCTGAATCGTAGGCTATTGTACCACAGACTTGTGCCTTGTCTAGATTCTTACTGGGAGCAATTACAGTCACAACATTCTTAGTATTTTGTGAATAACCTAGATTTGACCTGATGACTAGATCCAACTCGCATACCTGTCTGCAAAGTTTCTAGTACAGGCAGGTAAGAGCTTCCCAATCCTCCCCAGGCCCAGACCACTCAACCCAAACACTTTTGGTCAACCCTGCTACTGGCATGGGCAGATGTGTCCTGGGTCAAAACTTGATTAGAAAAACTTCCTTTTGCATTGATCAGTGGTCACTGGAGAGATGCATACTGCCTCACAGTGATGAGCATTAGGAGACTGACTGCTCAGCCCTGAATGGGACATTTGTATTACTATCAGCACCAACAAGGTGCAGAGAACATCGTGGCAGAGCTGAAAAGAAGAGAAGATCCAAAAGAAGGAGAGAAAGTCATGATCTCATAGCAGCTGTTGTTCCCTTATAAGACTTAACACAAAGTCCCAGTGTGGATAGGGTGTATAATCTTCAAACTTCACTCTGTACTCTGGAGCTATTGATGGTGGATAGTGACAGGGAGAGATAGAGACATTCGTTACTGAAGAGATGGCCACTGCACCAGTTGGTGATCTACATGCATGGCACATGGGCAGCACAACTGCACTTGGTGGGTTACCAAAAGAAAAAAAAGGACATACAGTGTGGGCAAGGAATATGCGGAGAGTCAGATCACATGTCATAGAGTATGTGTATGTGTTTAAAAAGAAACCCATGGGGCTGGAGAGATGGCTCAGTGGTTGAGAGCACTGACTGCTCTTCTGGAGGTCCTGAGTTCAATTCCCAGCAACCACATGGTGGCTCACAACCATCTGTAATGATCTGATGCCCTCTTCTGGGGTGTCTGAAGACAACTACAGTGTACTTACATATAATAAATAAATAAACTTTTTTTTAAAAAACCCACAATTTAGAAGATAGATTATCGAGGTTCATATCCCAAGTTGCTCTCTGATTTGTTGTTTTTTAAGCTTTGTAAATTGGGTTAATAGTATCCACCTAAAAACTAGCAATACCCATGTTCAGGCAGTAGTGGTTGGCACTTGACAATGATCTAAAAGGCAGGTGTTGAAACGAGCAGGATAATCATTCATTCCTAGAAAAAAAGATAAATCTGGTGTCAGGAGATATTTCTGTTTTCTAGTTTATCAAATCCTATCATATAGAGACTGGAAGAGGCCATCTCAGTATTGATTTCAGTGAAGATGGAAATTATAAATTATTTGATTAGTAATGCTTGAACATCTTTTTCTACATATGTTTCTCCATTAGTCATATACACTACCTACCTTATTTGACAAATTGCTCTATTATTGTGCCTGGAATTTTACTGCTCTCCGCAGTAATTGGCAGCATTATTTACTTCAGTCCTTTTCTATCTCTATTTATATTTAATTTATTCTGTTAATGGATTCATTTAATCTACACTCTAAGTTATAGTGTCAAACATGAAATATTTGTACATACAGTTTTTTTAGCATTTAAATTTATTACACCTTACTCTCTGGTACTATCATGATGAAATGATAAAGTTAAAATACTTCATGAACTATTACTGTCTTCATGCAAAAGTTAGGTGGTCACCAGTTGACTACATAAAACTAGCCTTGCCTGTAGATGGTCAAGAACACTAGTTATAATTTGAATTCTAGGAATCATGTAATTGTCTTTAGTTCTTTTGCATCTTGATAGTAGTTCTCAGGTAAGAATGGGACTCAACATAATTTGGAATGCTTATTGTAGAGTGTAGCTTGAAGTTTTTAACCCAGGTATTCTGATTTACATGGATCTACAGTAAAACCACATAATATTCTTACCAGGATGGCAAGTAATTCTAGGCAGTAGTCTCCACTTTTCCAACACTGAGTTGGACTGTTTCCATAGTCCTCTTTCTCGTGAAAAGAACTAAACTTGTTTATAGCATTCACTGGAATACATTAATACTTCATTACTGCTTTTATAGTTGTGAGGTGTAGACATAATGTTTTTGTGTACTGTGCAAAGATTACCAATATATTATTCAAGTGCTGATTTCTCTGTCCCCATATCTAGTTGCAATCCAGACATGACATTGTCGTGTTTATTCTAAATATCTCCTATTTCAAGTTTCTGTGAACATTGCTCCCAATTTATTCTTTGACTTGTCAATAAAAGCTGATCAACCAATGGCTGGGCAAAAGAGAGAATAGGGCAGGACTTCAGCCAGCCAGGGGAGGAAGGTGTCCTGGAGACATCATGGGAGAACAAACCAGAAGCCCAGAGAGACAGACCAATATTAAAATGCAAGTATCCTTGGGATTTTGGCTGGGAGGTAGCCAGAGTAGGTTAGAGGATTAAAATAGATCAATGACTGTCTGGGTATTGTGCAGTAAAGCTTGATTAAGTAAGTCTAATAGTCTCAATCATTTAGAAGCTAGCTGGGGTTAAAGAAATACTGCCACTTTTAAAATTACTTTTACAGAGAGGGACCCACTTAAGCTTGTCTTTGGAGAATATGTTTACATTGATTAAATTTTGAAAGTGAATTATAAACCAGTTTCTGCTAGGACTATTAAAAACATCAAAAAATTTGAGTGTTTCAGTCAGTCCTGGGGGGAGGAGGGGTAGGAGTGGTGGGGTTTCTTTTGTACTGGTAGAGATTAAACCCAGGGCCTTCTGCATGCTAGAAAATGTTCTCCCACTGAGTTTCAGCAGTAGTGCAATAATTTCCAGTGACTATATTTTCTATCTATGAGTAGTTATGAACAAGCTTCTTATATTTTACATGTTAGCTTTAGCTTGATGTATTTAAATATAGTACCATTTATCCAGAAAAATTAAACTCCAAAGCCAGCTGGCTAGTTTTGTAAATACATTTTATCACAGGGTTCTATACTGTAGCTACCCCAAGACTGTCTGCAGCCTTGAACTGGTGGCAGTCCTTCTGCCTTAGACTTTCAAGTGCTATGCTTACAGATGTGAGCTACCCACCCATTCTCTAAGGTCTTGATGAATGTAAGATTTTCTAAAGAAAAGTTCATTGTGAAGGAAGAATATTACTAGTTTTGGTTCTAAAAATCAAACAGCCTCTGCTGCACCCTAATCTCACCTGGCTACATTTATGGCCCAGTTTTCACATTTGTAAAAAAGGCTTTAATAAGACTTTGTACCTCATAGTATAGTTATGAAGATGTAAATGGATGCTCGCAAGCAGCATAGTGCCAAGCCGTTCACTGGCGACTGTATGAATGGATTTTGTGTTGCTGATGTAAAATGACTATGAAGGGGCTACTTACAAAGAAAAGGAACACCTTTTTGTAATTGTAGAAGTTATAAGTCTTAAGATTGGTGTCCCAACTTTCAGCCTCTAGCAAGGGTAAATGGGTGCCCCATCATGGCAGGTCTCTGAAGAGTAAACTGTTCCCATCAGAGGTTAGGAAAAGAGGTAGCAGACTGGACCAGGGTCCAAGAGTCTTCTTTGAGGATATGCTTTCAGTGACCTGAGGACTTTCCATAATGCCCCACCTCTGAAAGGTACATAACATCTATACTACTACTTTGGGGACTATAACAGTTGTGAGTTTTCTTAATAAGTGCTGTGTCTGGGCTATCTTTTTTGATTTTACAGAATAAAGGCCAAAATTTTCACCCTCTTCATCATCAAGGATCACCTCGCTTGATCTCCAGTTACATCTTTATCCTGTCATTCCCCTTTCAGCTCCTCTCTCCCCACACTTTTTCATGCCTGTAAAGTTTTTCATATGCTAGAAGTTAGCAGAATGTAAAGGTTTAAGTGTGATAGTCAGCATGCCCTCCTCACTTGCAAGAGTGAACTGACGTCATTTGGTACCTCCTTTGAAAACCATCCCTCTGGCTCCATAGCATTTTGGATTTTTTTTTTCAGATATGTTATTTGTCTATGCAGAGTAATGACTATTTTTTTCTGTATGCCTGTCTCTCACACTGGGTTATAAAGGTTTTATTTTGTATTTTTGCTTAGGACAATGGTTAATGCTAAAAAATGAATACAGAAATCACAGTTGAATTATTTAAAACTTTGTTTAAAACAAAAATGCAAAAGCTCAGCTCTTTAAAATTATTTCTTGCCTTTGTAGAGCAGTTTATTAGTATTTGGTTTTAGATGATTTTAGAAGATACTCAATTCAATAAATTTCATCCATTTGGGGTAGGATTTTTATTTAAATCAGATGAATAGTTTGGGTACTGGTTTTATGTCTCCTAAAACTAGTCTACATCACACCACTATATATGATATACTATGAAATTATATATATATATAATACATATATATGTAATACATATAATATATATATATATATTTTATTCATTTAGGTAAAATAGTACATGATACTTTTGTTTAGCCAGGGCTCCAGCCCAGGACCTGATTTATATGTGGCAAATGTTCTACTGCTGAACCATACTCACAGTCTTATTTCACACTTTTACAGAACTTTATTGTTTATAGTTCTACGTGTTTGTCTATATTAATTTTTCATTCTTTAGACTATAAAAGTGGTTATTAGCTTTCCCATTAAGTCCCACAGAACTGACCCTGGATAGCTGTGCCTATGTAGCATCTACGCTGTGTTGCCTCTAAAGAAAGTAGTTTAAGTAAAGTGATTTTCAGTATTCACATTGTAAATATATCCTCCCCTGCTCACTGACCAAGAGTAACCTTCATACTTTTTCTTCTCATAGCTGCCATGGACACACTAGTAGAAGATGACATCTGCATTCTGAATCATGAAAAGGCCCACAGAAGAGAGACAGTTACTCCACTCTCAGCATATCCCGGAGATGAGTCTGTTGCTTCACATTTTGCCCTGGTCACTGCTTATGAAGACATCAAGAAGAGACTTAAGTATTCAGAGAAAGAAAACTCCTTCTTAAAGAAAAGAATAAGGGCTTTGGAAGAAAAGGTGGCTTCCCTCCTCTCATTTGACTATATTTTTGACATAAAAAATAATTCCCGATATTTAAAATTTAAAAAAATTTTCAGTCTTCCAAGAAAAAATAAGAATTTCTAAATTCTTCTCCATTAAACTAACTATGCTGTATCAGCCATACCATGTGTTCAGTGATATTGTAGAATAGGATTTAACAACTTAAAGATGTTATATTTCAAAAATTTTCTTTTCCTTTTTTCAGAATGCCTACTGTCATTGCTATGTATTGAGGCTAGTTTCTTTATTTTATTTTATTTTATTTTATTTTATTTTATTTTATTTTTGGTTTGTTTTATTTTGTTCTGTTTTTGTAAGGTGCACAAGCATCTATTTAAACGCCAGAGGGCAGCCTTAGGTGCCTCAGGAGCTTTCCACTTTCTGTTTTGAGACTAGATCTTTTACTGGGTCATAGAGATTACTAATTAGACTAGGCTGCCTGGCTAGGAAGCCGCAGGGATCTTCCAGTCCCTGTGTCCCTGTTACTGGGGTTACAAGTACACATCACCATACCTGGTTGTTTACCTGAGGATTGAACTCAGGCCATCAGCGAGCAGTTTACCAACTGAGCTGTCACCCAGTCCCACTTATATATATGTAACTTGGAATTTTCAGGTCTATACACAAGAATAAGATACTAGTAAAGGAAACTATCAGGGGCGGGGGAAGCCTGTGACATTGCTTCACTGTCTTTAACCAGCTCTTCACCAGGACTAGAACCTTTACTTCTGTGTAGCAATAAAGTAGGAATAATACTTGGAGCCAATAATGACATGTATTTTTCTATGCAGAATGTTCCATTTCTGAATGCTATATAAGGTGGTTTAAATGCATTCTAAATTATAATAAGACTTAAGTTAATTTTAAATGTTGGAATTTTTCTTGGTTGCCCATTTATAGCATTGCAAGATTTTAATTAGTTTATAGTTCCTCAACTCAGATTTGTATTTGTATCTTACAAAAATAAGAGCTTCCACAAATGGTAAAAGAAATGAGTTCTTAGAAATCAAAAAAAGGAATTTTCCTATACTTAAAAACTTGAGGGGGGCAGTTTTGGTAGAATTTATATTTGTTTGTTGTGTTGGAAAAACAAGGGAAGTCATTTATTGATAATATTAGTTTCTTACTAATTCTGTCTTAGGAACTAAGTATATTTGTCATATATTAAGGTAAATTACTGAAGGCAACTTTACAACTAATTGTTATGCTTTTAAAATTAAATAGAAACATGGACTTTAGTATGTAAGCTAACATACAATCTGTACATTGTGACCATCAATCCTATTAATTTCAGGATTTGGACTGTAAGGTTTAATGAAGCGACATGTCTGTTCCTTACGAAGTCTGATTTGATACTTTTCTGATGATAGACATTAGGTACTGTGGACTTGGAAAATACCCAGACATGTCACAAGACAATAATACTGAATTACAGTGTAGTGATTAAGTTTATCATAAAGCAGACAGCACAAAGCACAGATTACTTCTGAGCAACAGAGAAAGTATTTGCCTTTTTTCTATACTATTTGTCTTCTTAGTAAAGATTGTGTGGCAATGAAATAGTCATTTATACCCAAAGGTAAGCTTTATCCTTCCAGTATAGTGATTAGAATAGGATATAGAGCCATCTGAGCATAGACTTACTCGGTTCTACACAATACCCACTGAAGATTTTCCCCCTAATTTCATGCTATTATTAGCTTGTTGGAGCGCGAATAGATGAAGAAACAAGTTCTGTGGGACGAGAACAAGTGAATAAGGCCTACCATGCATATCGAGAGGTTTGCATTGATAGAGACAATCTGAAGAACAAATTGGAAAAGATAGTAAGTTGATTTGAAAAATAATACTTTATATTTTAATTGTTTTGTCTAGCAAGAGGCTTAGAATTAAAATAATGGGTTAAACAATTATTAATTAAAATATACATGTTGTGGTATATGGAAATTCTTAATTATATTTACCACTAATATACAAAATACTTAGAATTTAAGGATTTAAATACTTAAGCATGTTAAGGACTTAAAGCCATCTCAACATCACTAACTTACTTTGAAAAAAGTCATGACAAGGTTGTTACTTAATTATTGGGTTTTTTTGTTTGTTTGTTTGCTTTAGCTTTTAATAGAGTGAGCAGTGATATCCTAAGAAACAAAAAGAATCGGGGTTCATTTTCCCATCTTTCTTTTAAAAGTTAGAATGAGATTTATTCAGTATTGACCTAAAAATTAAGATATAAAACAAACCAAAATTGAGATGTTATTGACTGTTATTTGGCATTTTCCCTACTTAACTAGAACAAAGACAACTCTGAGTCTTTGAAAGTGTTGAATGAGCAGCTACAGTCTAAAGAAGTAGAACTTCTGCAGCTGAGGACAGAGGTGGAGACTCAGCAGGGTACGCCGCTTCCTTGTTTACGGATATTCTAATTAAGCTGATCCATCTTTCCATTGTGTAACGTCCATATGAGCGCCCTATGTCTGTAGGATAGAGCCTTAATTTTTTTTTTTTTTCATACAATATCCTGTTTACTTAAGCTGAAAATTGTACTTTTCCTACAGAAGATGTGATGCTTTTATTCAGGGGTAGTGTATGATGAAGTAGGGGAGAGATGTAAAACCCCATCCGTACTAAACCTCGCGCCCCACTGCTATCCCCTGATTTGTCCCACTAACTCACTGCCCGTGGTTAAACATCGTTATGAAGTAGCTTCAATAAGACTCTTAATTTTTTGTTTTTTTTCCTGAAAGTTGATAAAATGTACAGATGAGGTGCTGAGATGGAAAGGTCTTCTGGGAGTTCGAGATAATAATCCTGTTCCCATCAACAGTCTTATTAATGAAGCAAAAGAATTGACTATTGAGAAACCTTCTGGTAGAAAATGAATGTGAGCTTTTTCTAGGAAAATGGTTGGAGCTTTTCAAAGATGGAAATCAAGGAGTGAGTCAGAGATAATGTAGGATCCAGCTGTACTGAGTCATAGTCAGATGTTTATGAGTACAGTTGTTTTGCAATGATTCTAGACCTGTCGATCAAATTTCAAACTCTGGTGGAGTAGGTAACACTGAGCCATAGTATTTATGCATGTCTAGTACTAGTTAGTTATTGACATTTTTACTAGTATCACCTAGGAACTGTAATTTCTATAAAAAAACAAAGTTAATCATTTTGTTGTCTGTCCTTTTTCTAGTGATGAGGAATTTAAATCCGCCCTCATCCAGCTGGGAAGTGGAGAAGCTAAGCTGTGACTTGAAGATCCATGGTTTGGAACAGGAGCTGGAACTACTGAGGAAAGAATGTAGTGACCTCAGAACAGAGCTACAGAAAGCCAAACAGACGGTACCTGAACCTTGTTAATAAATGGAGGACATCTGTGTGCTCTGTGCATCATATATAGGATTGTAACTAAGTACTAAATCATAGGTCTATAATTAATTATAACCATAGAATAGAAATTCATGTTTATCATGAAATCATTGCTTCTAATATTTCATATGATCTGTACATTCATTTTTACCCCAGAATATAGTTTTAAGATTTGATTTTAAATGTATATTGGGTTGTGTCTTAATTACTTTTCTGTTGTTGTGACAAAGCACCATGACCAAGGCCACTTATAATAGAAAGCATTTAGTTTGGACTCATGGTTCTACAAGGTTTGAGTCCATGATCTTCATGTTTGGGAACATGACAGTTGGCAGGCAGGTAGGCATGGTGCTGGAGCAGTAGCTGAAAGCTTACATTTGATCTACAAGTACAAGGCAGACAGAAAAGAAAGCTTCCTAGGAATGCATGAGCTTGTTAACCTGCAAAGCCCACTCCACTGACAGACCTCCTCCAACAAGGCCACATCCTCCCAATCATTCCCAAAGAGTTCTGCCAACTGCAGACCAGGCATTCAAATATGAGCTTATGAGGACCATCCATATTCAAACTGCCTCAGGTTACTTTAATTTTTTTTCAAACTTCCTTTCCTTCTAGTTTCTCTTGTTTTGAATGTGTCAGAAAATTTTAAAGAGAACTTAGTTTTAACCTTTCCCTTTATTTAACAATTTGGTTAACTTGAACACAGAAAACAACATTAGAGAATTCTTGAAAAACAACAGACTTACCACTCACAAAGGAAGCCTAGCTTACATAGCCTGTTTCTTCTCAGGAGACTGATAGTTTTTAGCCAGTTTGAGAATGAATTAGGAAACTCAACAACAAAAACATCTGCCAAGTCAGCTGCTGTAGTACAGTCTGTTTACTACTACTCTACTGGGGTGAGTGAGGGGGTGTCAGGTTTTTAGGTGAAACTGGGATATGAGAATAGAGCAAAAATATTTTACATTTGTGTATTTTAAACTAATTATAGCCAGTTAATCCTCAGCTCAACCATTTGCCCATCAAAGCCTGGCATACTGCTGAGAACTCCTGACCATGTTCCTGTGGAGGTCACCATCTCAAAGTGGGGCTACTTGCCATCCTCAGTGTACCCATGTCCCAGGTGGCCTTAAATGCTGCTTACTGTCATTAATCGGTGACCACTAACTGAGAATGAGCTTCATGTGGGAATCTAGAGCACTCTGCTTCCTCCTGTCTGCTTCATCTGACCTGCACAGTGAGAATCCATATTGGAAACTCTGGATCTGAGAAAGGAAAACACCACACAATTGCTATCTGGTTGGGTTAAAGCCAGTGTTTCTTTATTACTTGACTGCAGAACTTTACTGCCCTGCCTTTAAGTGTTCAGTTGGCCACATACCACCACTTCTTCAGACTTCCAGTATTCTATTCCGTACACCCAATTACCATAGCCACTAACAAGTCCCTTTTAGAATAGCTGCTTGCACAAAAAGATTGCACTGCAAAGCTCTGAGTAACTGTCAGTGTTTATATTTTCCATGAAATAATTGATAGCTTTTATACATAAAGTATGTTTATATTTTATGCATAGAATATTTCACTGTAGAGTAAGAAACAGTACTATCTGATTATGGAAATCTGTCTTAGTGTGATTTTATTAAATATAGAAAATAGGAATGTCATTTTTAACTATGAGAAAATTTATTTCTAAAGGCATTGAGTACCTCTCTTTTGATAAAAATTAAATTAGGGATTATATAAAGAGGTTAGCATAGTACCTGGACAGAGTACATTCTTTATATACATTAAAACAAGCTAACAAATTTATTTAGAGTATTAGATGTGTCTGTGCTGAGATGAAGGGTCAAGTTGTGGTTATTACTTCCTCTGTTCCACTAGGTGGTGCTAGGGAATAAATATGGTTTTAGTTTACATCTGTCCTATGCTAGCAGTTCATAGAAGCAGATTATTGAAAGTACAAGAAATGTTTTAAAGTTTTACCAGTTTAAACTGATGATGACATTAATTCCGAGAAACAGGAAACGTTTAAGTTTTATGTGAGATAAAGGGAGGAATGTTGAAGGGTGAGAGAAAACTGAGCAGTTCTGCTCTCATAGTGTGTATTACTGACAGCAGGAGGTTGTGAAGTGGAAAAGCCCACAACTGAGATCAAGAAACAAACTAAGAATAGTTGAAGTACATTTTTTTTCAAGGTTTCCAACTTAAAACCATGATGTTTTATGTACTTTTGGATCTGGTTAGAATCTTACTGGATATGGGACTGTAAAAATGAGCCAATGTAAGAAGTCTATGTTCACATTAATAACTTGTCTGCATCTACTCTGGCCATATTTTAAAATGCTTAAGACATTATGTGACACATACTTTAGGGTAGCTTCTGTGGTGTGTGACAACATCCCTTGTAGTCATACTAGGAACATTCTGATTTCGCTTATTGGCAAATTTGTCTACTAGTGTTTCTTGTTAGTAGGGTCAGCATTTCAGAGACCTTTCTGCTGGTGCTTTTCCAATTTTATATCCTAGCCATTTATATTCAGAACAGTTGATTCTGAGAGTTCAAAGTCAGTCAAAGTGGTGTAAGAAACAGTGGTTCAAAATAAACAGCCCATGTGGAATCCTAGTATTTTTCAGTATATTAGAGGTACTAGGAAAGCTGTATTGCAGGGACCTGTGAAACCTGAAATGAGTGTATCCTTCAGAACAGTACAGCCTCCTTATTCGCCATGAGGGGTCTTTCCCTGTTGGGGACAGTCCTTTTGAGGACTTGGATTGTTGATGATTTACATTCAACTTTACTGGCAGTAGATGTAAAATATTTTCGCATTCTTATGGAAAATGTATTTCCATATTGTTGGCTTTAAAGAACATTTCCAGTAAATGTGTGGTTTAAGTATATACTGGGGAACGTCGTTTTTAATTAATGATACAAAAAACTAAAGGCTGTCTGGGGAAACTTTTATTTCTTATGGAAAACAATAAAGAACAATACCAAGGATGCCTACATTTATGGTAGTTTTTGAGGTAGAGTCTCACTCCATAGTCCAAGTTGACCCAAGAACTCACTCTGAAGCCCAGGCTGTCCTGACTTTAGAGCAATCTTCTTCAATTTCCCAAGTGCTGGGATTACGGGAGCGAGCTAATATGCCCAGTTTATAATTTGTTATGTAAGTAATACTGAATAGTAAAATTTTGTTTTTCAGCTTATACCAGCAGTTCCTGCTTATAGACTAATTCATACTTGTGAGATTAATGTTTGTTTCAGATTCTTGAATAAAAGTGCATTGTGGCCGAGCAGTGGTGGCGCACGCCTTTAATCCCAGCACTTGGGAGGCAGAGGCAGGTGGATTTCTGAGTTTCAGGCTAGCCTGCTCTACAGAGTGAGTTCCAGGACAGCTAGGACTACACAGAGAAACCCTGCCTCAAAAAAAACAAAACAACAACAAAAAAAAAAGTGCATTGTGAATAAGTATGATACAGAAGATCTTGAATATATTAGATTAAAAAGTATCTTTTATAGGTCTTGGGATTTGGGTTTTTTTGCAACATTCATTGGAAATGGTTCTTTGTCTAATGTAGCACAATGCCTTAGAATAATAGTGTATGTAACTGATATAGTTTCTACCTCTAAACCAGTGTGTCCATATACAGTTCATAAAAAAATAAGATAAAATCAAGCTACAGTGCTGCTCCAGCAGAGTTCATGGGTTCTTTACTTAAGATATAATTACATTTTCTTAAATTGGAATCAATTGTTTTTTAAAATATAGACCAGAATATTTGCACATGCAAGAAATTTCTTTAGGAGGAAATTTATGCTGTCATAAATTATACTTGCTCAATTTTTGCTGGTTTTGTGTGCAGAAATTCCCATTTTCCCATAGAATTCATACAGATGTACTTTAAACAGTGATGTGATAGATATGTTACCCTTCTTATTTTTTCAAAAGTATGTTTTATAGGATTCCAAACTCATGAGACATGTTTTACAGGAAATGAAAGCTTGAACACTCAGGTAACTGGAAGTGAGTTAGACATGTCAGGAACAGGTGGCAATGTCTCTTTAAAACTGAGTCTAAAATCTAGTCTTATACTTGATACAACTGTAGCTATATTTTATGAATGTTGAAACATCTGTAGTAAATGAAGAACTGAAAAACATTGAAATAATTCCTGTTGTTTTCTTTTTAAACACATGACAGGGTCCATCTCAGGAAGACATTCTGCAGGACAGAGATGTCACCAGGCCGAGCTTGTCGAGGGAAGAGCATGTTCCACCCCAGGGCCTTCACCACAGGTCTCCTGAATGCATTCTACCTTTCTAATATGGTTTAACTTGAGGAGCAGCAAACATTAGATATGCAGCTGTAATTTCTGATCACTGTATAATGATTTAACAGTTACTTGCCAACAGGCTTAACCTGACTTGCTGTGCCAGCCTGTCAGAAATATTTGAAAGACGTTTGTTTTAGAGAAATCACAATTGGTCATAGTACGCATCTTTTAATCCTGTAGCAAATCCCATATTTTATTTTTAGTTCCTTCAAAGCAGTGGTTCTCAGCCTTCCTAATGCTGCAACCCTTTAATATGGTTCTATAAATTTATGTTTTATTCTCCTGAAGTAATTGTCGTCTGGAGGCTTACTGCCTCTGTCTGCTAACCAAGGCCTAGTCCTGGAAACTTCTAGTCTTTGTACAATCTTACCTAGAATGTTTTCAGCCTCAGAGACTTACTGCTGAATAAGCTTATCCTTTCTAGTTCTTTCTAAACTCTGGCTGGCTGGTTCAATTCAACTGTTGTGCTTCAAACTCCTCTCCAAACGGGCTGATTTAGTCTGCCTTCTCTCTCTCAGCCTCTACCAAATTGCTCTGCTTGGCCTCATACTAACTGGCAATCTGTTCTAGTCTTCTGGCTCCTCATTCTCTGGCTCATTCTGTCTTCACCTGTCTGTCTTCACTTGTCCCAGTAAAACTGCCTTATTGCCTCTTTCTGCATTGCCCCTAAAGTAGCTTCCCTTTCCCCTTCTGAGAGTTGGGCAGATCTTATTCTGTCAAATAGGGTTTGTCTCATTGTCTGCCACTCAGTTAGACATCACTTTCAAACATGTGTGCTTCCTTCTTCAAACTAACTTTACCTTCATTGTTTGGGATTAAAGGTGTGTACTAAGAATGTGCCTGTATTTCAGCCAGAGGGATTAAGGGTCGTGCTAAGGCTAAAACACCAGTAAACAACACAATCTCAGGGTTCATAGTGTGCTCAAATATCCTGCAACACAGTTCCTTGTGTTGTTGTAATCCCCAACCATAAAATTATTATATCATTGCTACTTCATAACTGTAATTTTGCTATTGTTATGAATTTTAATATAAATATCTGACATGCAGGAAGTCAGATGTGCGACTCCCAAAGGGGTAGCAACCCACAGGTTGAGAACTACTGCTTTTAGGGACTGCAGTAAAATTTCAAATGCTAAAGAAAATTATATATGTCTAAAGTAAAATCATACAGATAAGTAGCTTTTTCTTTTAACATGAGGAGTATTCATTTCTTTTACAAAAAGATTGATATATAGTGTCAGCCAATAAAAGACAACACAGTACTTTCTAAACAGGGCATGTAATGCTTTCGAGATGAAGACAAGTTTCATAACACCAAAGTCAGAGGGGTAAAAGTTTGTACTTGAACTAAGCATATTTGTGTGGGCCATCAACCACTTTACAGGTCCATTGGTGTGGATACAATGACAATGCCCATAAGAAATATGGTTCCCTAAAAGGGCAGGGTGGTCAATACTTAAGAGTGGACAAGTACCACTGCTTAGAAAAAGGAACCTTGTGGAGTGGAGCCAACTCCTGAACTTGTCTCCTCATGAGCAAAATGAGATATTCCGTTGTCCTATTTAGGGTTACTCTTGCTGTGATGAAGCACAGTAACCAAAACAATTTGGGGAGGAGCAGGTTTATTTAGCTTACTCTTCCACATCACTGTTCATGATCAAAGATCAGGACAGGAACTCAAATGGCAGAATCTTGGAGGCAGGAGCTGATGCAGATGCCATAGCGGGGTGCTGCTTACTGGCTTGCCTCCTTTGGCTTTCTCAGCCTGCTTTCTCATAGAACTCAGGATCGCCAGCCCAGGGATGGCCCCACCCACAATGTATAGGCCCTCCCCAATCAATCGCTAATTAAGAAAATGTTCTACACACTTGCCTGTAGCCCAGTCTTATGGAGGCACTTTCAAAAGCAGCTCCTTCCTCTCCAATGACTCTATCCTGTGTCAAATTGACATACAACCAGCCAGCACAGCCATTTTGCCAGGCTGGTGCATGAAAATGGGTGAAGTGCCTAGTACATAATGTTCAACCATAATTATTCTTGTTTTTATGTTTTATAATCATTGCTTTTCAGGGCTCACAATTTGATTAATGCAAATTTTAGTACTCAAGAAACTGCTATATACATTGTTTAGAGGCAACCACATTCATGACATTATTTTTTTAGGTCATTTAAAGCAAGTTCAGGTTTTACTTGCATGAGGCCCCCAAGACATACACAGCAGAGGACTGACTGCCAGGCCTGGGTTCAGTCAGAGGATGCACCTAACCATCAAGAGACTGAAGGCCTCAGGGAGTTTAGAGGTCTGGTGGGATGTAGGGGTTGTGGGAATATCCTCGTGAAGACAAGGGCAGGGAGGAGGTATGGGATGTGGAGGAATAGTCAGAGGGTAGACCAGGAGGGGAATAAAATCTGGAGTGTAAAAATAAATTTTTTAAAAAGAAAAAAATTTCTGGAAAAGCTGAAGAGGTATATTGAAAACATTTCTGATAAAATTAAAGTTTTAAATGAAAAAAATGATTAGAAAATATTCTGATAAAATTGAAGACAAATACAGAAAAAATTCTAAAAAAAAGTGAAAAAATATATTTAAAAAATCAGATAAAATTGAATTTTTATATGAAAAAATGATAAAATTGAAGACAGAAGAAATTCCTCATAAAATTGAAAACAAAGAAAAAATTTCTGAAAAAAATTAAAGAAACATGTTGAAAAAAATTGAGATAAAATTGAAGTTTTCTATGAAAACAAGGAAAAATTGAAGACATACACAGAAAATATTCTGATAAAATTGAATACATATATAGAAAAAAATTCCTGATAAAATTGAAGAAAAATATAGAAAAAAATCTGGAAAAATTGAGAAGGGTATATTGAAAATATTTCTGATAAAATTGTTTTATACAAAAATGATAAAACTGAAGACATACATAGAAAAAAATAAAAAGTAGGGTAGAATGGTATGCAGTCCACGTAGTCTCAAAAATACTTGGATAACACACCCAATACTCACAGGAGCCCTGCTAAGAATTGGAGAAATAACTTGCCTTTTCATTTCTTTTTTTACTGGTTTTAACATGCATAGAATAACCAATCATTTTTACATGTTTTAAAGACTATAACACTTTGATGTTAAAGTAACGACAACCAAAACTATTTTGTTATCCATAGAGGAAGAGTTGTAATTAGTAATAATCTTAGACACTGCGGTGGCAGAGTGGACATGTGCCTCAGAGCCTGTGTGGCAGTCAGAAGGCAGCTTAGTAGAGTCAGTTCTTATCTCCACTCTTAAGTTGGTTCCATGAGTTAAAACTCAGGTCACTTGCCAGTGTGTAAGGTGTTTAAAAATAAGTCTTTTTATGTCCATGTTGTGGAGCCTGCATGGGTTGATGGGGATGGGGATGCAGACGCCCATAGAAACCATGGAAGGCGTGAGGTCCTAGCAGTGGAATTGCAAGCAGTTGGATGCTAAGAGCTGAGTCCTTGTCCTCTGCAAGAGCAGTAAGAAATCTTGAACTACTGAACCATTCCTCCTGCCCAGTCATAGCTGGGTTTTTAATCTGTAGTTTTAGTGTAGGTGATACTTGAGCAAAGGACAAAAGGGTAGTTGATGATATAGTTCTACCTTATCTAATTTTTAAGCATATCTTCATTAAATTGAACTTTTTAAATGTATACAAGGTATTGATACTACTATCTTTGTCATATTTTATTTGTCTAGCTATTTTAAGTGACTACATGTACTTGGGGTTTGAGTACCCAAGTATTATCATGAGTATTTTCTTTTTTGTAAGTCAGGTACAGATTCACCATTTTATAACAATAATAAACTAATTTCAAACTGTATTATTCATGCCTGTGTGCCTGAGTTAACATGTGTACGACAATTCCACCTGCTGCTTTAGAATGAGTGACCCTTTGACAAACACTGAATGCCCCAAATTATACCATGGAAGCAGACTTCACTATGAAATAGTCATTGTAAAAAGTAGATCCAGTGTTTACTGGCTCCAAAGGAGAGCTGCTTAAATATACCAAGCTTAACCAAAATATTTAAAATACTAGATTTTTCTCCAAAGCAACTTAGTCTGCTGTACTGTTTATAACAATTATAGTCTATAGTTGGGTAGAAATATTCTGTCAAAAGAGGTAAAATTTTACCTCACATAATTTGACCTATTTGTTTTTAAATACCTATTGCTTCTATACCTAACACTAGATTCAGATTTCAAGGTTATCCCTTTGAAGTTTAAGTTCTGTTGACTAGATAGACAAAACTTAAAAAAGGAGCTAAGTATGTTTATTTAGTTCTATTTTTATACCACTTAACATTCTCTGATAGTAGTGGTTGTTCTGATCCTATGAAGTCAGTTATTCTCATTTCAATTATTACTGCATAATAAAACAATATATGCTGTAGATTCCAGTTCACTTAGTTGAAAATTAAGAGCCTAAAGAAAATCATGAGCCTTAAGGATTTAATGGAAAATAAAAGCTCTTAAAATTAGTTATAAACAGTTTCAGATCCTTTTAATTGTAAACCTATGGAAAGGCATTTTGAAGTTGTGTTTCCTATAATCCACTTCTCTAGCTGCTGCTTCGTTAGGGAGTCATGTGACTCCTCGTGTCTTGTGCTGTCATGTCACATTGGTTTAGAACCAACAGTATGAGACAGCCCAGTCAGACATAAAGAATGTAATGCATGAAACCTCAATTTTGTCTTAATGTGGTCTTGGGTATCTACTCACCACTTCATTTCACAGTGTCAAAACAATCCAAAGATGAAGACAAATTCAAAGACCATACATGAATGAATGCAATTTTATTCTTGATCAGATTGACAAAAGGAAAAGCATATTCCTTACTAATTATATTAACAGCACTGCACATTATTGGTTAAAATCAATCCTTAGCTCTGAGAGAGTCAGGAAAAAACTCACTGGTCTGTTTAATACAGTAGTTACTGCCTAAAATCAGAGCAGTGTTATCCCTAGGTTTTTCACTTACAACATTCCAAATATATACCTTTTAGCTTCATTTATGTTGTCATAAAAGTATAAATATAAACCTGTTTGTATTATAAAGTTGTTGCCCTTTATCCATAAAAAGGCCCAGTGTAACTTGTTTTTAAAATTCCATTTCAGTGATAATATGCAACATGCATACTGGGAACTGAAGAGGGAAATGTCTAACTTACACCTGGTGACTCAAGTGCAAGCAGAACTACTAAGAAAACTGAAAACCTCAGCTGCAGTCAAGAAAGGCAAGTCACTGCTGGCTGGAAATGCTGACTCCAGCCAGACTGCCTGAAGAGCCGCTAGCTGCTTTCTCTTAGTCTCATCTGATGACGATGATAAGCCAGACTGTAGCCGTGTGCCTGCTCACACCCATGCTCTGCTTCCGCTTCAGTCTCTAGCTGGGCAGCCTAAGGTGTTGCTGGTGGTTTTTCTTCAGTACTGTATTCTTTTCCCCTTGTGGCTTTTCTCAGCCAAGTGTTGCTTATGTAAGGCCATGGTGTTAGGTTTGTGCTAAGGGGCCTTTTACCACAAGTATATAGAGTTAGTTATATATTTAAAAAGAGCTCCAAAGTTTCATTTCAGTACTATGAAATATACCAAAGACCTAGCTTTTTATTTTTAAAACAACTCTGACTCATTTAGTTCCTGATATCTTTTTTATAAACTTTTCTTTTCCTTATAGGACATCTGATTTGAAGGCAGACTCAATCAAAATTTCCCACTGCTTTGGTTGGTTGGTTAGTTGGCTGGCTGGTTGGTTTTCTTGAGACAGGGTTTCTCCATGTAGCCCTGGCTGTCCTGGAACAATATTATCTCTCCTGTGTCACCCCCAACCCCTCCGCATGTGTGTGTGTGTGTGGACCAGGCTGGCCTCAAAACTCAGAAATCTGCCTGCCTCTGCCTCTGCCTCCCAAGTGCTGGGTTCACCCACTCAGCCATTGCTTTCTTTTTAAAGCCAATATTTAACTAAAGCTTTTGTGTTTTGTGTTATCTAGTAGTGGGTACTTTTTTGCCAGTGCTGTTTTTGTATCTTAGGAAATAACTTCTGCTGCTTGTACCCAACTTGATAGCCTTACATCCAAAACATACAGCATACGTTTGATGTCTTAAATTTTATTTTTCAAAAGAATGTGATGTGACTTTGAAAGGTGGTCATCACCTAATTTAAAATTGTTACTTACATCTCTGATTGTTCTAAAGGAGAACAAGAAAACTTTGATAACTGTTCTCAGGAGTGTTTGTAAGAGACAATGTTTCACATGGGGTGGGGATTAATTCAAAGTCTCTTGATTTCTGTGGAGTTAGGTACTTAAGAATCAGGCAAGTTAATGTGATTTTGAGCCAACATAGCTCAATTTGTGGTTCACCTTACTGTCTTTTTCCAGTTGCTAAGGTTACTTATGATGATACCATAGGTGGATGGCAGAAGTAAGACTTCTCCTTACAGTGACTCAGCTATATGCTGTCAGTACAACTACTTATATCATAAAATAAGATGTTCCAAAGACTAATAAAGGAGAACAGCTCTTCCCACCCTGTGTTCCTTTTATGATGATACAGTCTTTTGATGCCTTTGCACAGTCACCAGTCCCTACAGCTCATTGTTTTAAGTAGACTGGGCTATGCTCACTTATCCATACTCTGTCCAGAAGAATTCATTATTCTTTCAGTTCCTTTACTCTACTCATCCCCTTCCACCCATCACCCAAATGTCTCCATTTGGTTGGTCCAGCAGGCTGGCTCAGCAAGTGGAAGAGCCCACCTGCAAGCTTGAGGACCTGTTGTACCTGGAACTCACAGTGGAAGGAACGAACCAACTCTAGAAACTTGTCCTCTGACCTTCATGCTCATGTGTATACCTGCATTCTCATGCACACACACACACACACACACACACACACACACACACATAAAATATTAGGTTGCATAGAGCCAAGCCTTAGATACAGTTAGTCATCTTTAGGCTAAGAAAAAAACATAGCTTACAGTTGTGGCAGGTTGAGAAGAATAAAAGAGGCTACTGTCGCAGGATACTGCGGTGGCTAAACATTAACTTCCAAGCAGCCTTTTCTAAGCCATTGTGTGTCTAAAACACCTTTTCATTTACTTTTTAAGTTGACCTGCTTGTTGACCAAAGCAGAATTATATTTTCTATTATATTTACTATAAGAAATTGAACTTACAGATTCTACTTCAACTATTTTATCTACAAAAGCCTTTGAGTACATGTTAAATTTTCATTCGACTCTTAAGAATCCAAGGTATACTTATAAAAAGAAGTTACTTTTTAAACCCTCTCCTATTGAGAAGTTTCAGTAAGCAAAAAAAAAAATGTATTTTAAACCTACTAATTCTTCACAACATTTTTTCCACTAAAATGGTCTAAAAACTTTTACTAGCCACATTAAAGGCCAAGAACTTTTCTTGTCTTTGCCTTGTTTAAAAAAAAAAAGTTATACCTTTTTACAACATACAGATTCTTCATCAGCAGGATGACATAGGCAGGAAAGGATTTCGACATCCATTTTTGCAAACAAAGCAGTTGGTGAAAGATCTAAGTATCTCCAAATCAGTTTCCCAATGATCATACTAAATTGGAAATGCTAACTTTAGTGTCTCTTGTGAAACTGGTATATATGTTTACAATCTCAAACGCTACAAGACTGACACATAGCTATGCTTTCTTTTTAGCCTGTACCCCAGTAGGATGTGTTGAAGACCTTGGGAGAGACAGCACGAAATTGCATTTGACAAATTTGACTGCAACTTACAAAAGACATCCCCCTTTGTCACCAAATGGCAAAGCCACTTGTTATGCTCCATCTTCCCCTTTACCCGGAGATAGAAAGGTTTTCTCAGACAAAGCAGTTCTTCAGTCGTGGACAGATAACGAGACATTGGTTCCTAAAGACGGTGCAGACTTTCAGGAGCACAACTCCTATGGGAGAAATTCTCTGGAAGATAATTCCTGGGTATTCCCAAGCCCTCCTAAATCAAGTGAGACAGCATTTGGTGAAAACAAAAGCAAACTCTTACCTTTATCCAACCTGCCACCACTGCATTACCTGGATCAACATAATCAGAACTGCCTTTACAAAAGTTGATTTATTTGACTTGTGATTTGATCACAAGGACACTGACTCACTGGTTCTCCCAAGAGATTGTTCAGACTGAAAGTGGACTCTGATGAATGTCTTGGGGAGTTCTCCAGTGTGTACATTTGTACATTCTGTACAACATTATGTATGCAGTTGATTTTCCAGTATGGAAACCTCCAGTTGTACCTTTGAAAACAATTACAAATTCTTGCTTCTTGGATAAAGAGTGGAAAATGAAAATTTTAGACATGGTTTTATAAAGTATGTGACCTGCCTACATATCCAATCATTAATTAAAAAGCAGCCTTTAATAGAAGAGAGAAACCATGTCTGCTGGTTCAGATTGTGTCAAGAAGCAAATAAGAGTGTGGGTAAGTCGTGCTTTCTGTAACTTCCTGATGCATAAGGATTTGAAATATAATGGAATAAAAGTAGATTATGACATCTCTATGCTACTCTTTCAAGTTTTAAGATTTAAAATCATTTTTAAGTAAAATGTTTGTGTATACAAATTTAAAGTGCAATTTGAATTCTGAGACTTGAACTAATGATGATTGAAGCCAACTTTCCCCAGTATATACAAATCCTAAATAGTTAAAAATGATGTGCTCTATGAATAAACTATTATAACCTTATATAATGTCCAGTTAAAAGTAGAAAAAGCATCTCACAGGGCAGTCTCTTCAGTGATTCATAGTGAACTCACCATGTGATCATTTTCAGCAGGACAGCTATCTGTATTACACAGAGCAGCTTATACACTGTTAAACTAGGACATTTGAGAAAGTAAATGCTAATTAGCTGCATCTAGAACTAAATCTTGTGCTGTACAATTATGAAATATCCCCAGACTCGTTCTAAGTGGCCAATCACTTGTAAATAAGTAAAGAAATAACGAAGATGGCTTCATGTGGAAATTCATCTAAATTCCTTCAAGGTCAAAGCACTACGAGTATTAGTAATCATGTATTACCTGTTTGATGTAAGAAGACTTTATCCTTTTCTAAGAGGCATTTCATGTATCCTGAATTCAGAGGATCTCTGACTTATCACTGAATACCATGCATAGCCGGGCACTGTTCACTGTTGAGTTATCTCAGTCACTTACTCATGCCTGTCCCTGATTAACAGAATTGATGTCAGATACTGGAATGTATTCTAACCAATGAACACAGCTGACTCGAGGGAGTACAGGCTCCTGCCAAGTAATATAACAAGACCCAATATGCATAAAACAAATACACGACTCCAGGCTCTAGCTGAAGGAACTAACTATCTGTGTAATAAGAAAGCAGACACATTTCTCATGTGGATGCTAAGGCTGTCCATCATTTCCGTCCAATGTAGCTTACTGGTTTGCCTTTTTTAAAACCAAGATGAGAAGTTTTCTTTTGTAAAGAGAGTCTTATAATGTTTTTGAACAATGCCAAGAAATTGTTTTAATTAAAATTATTTTTGTTTTTAAAATGGAATTGGATGTGAAATACTGTCCTTGCCTATGTATATTTCCGAAGTATGTTATTAATTTTATTTCTCCAACATATTCTGAATGGAGCAAATTCCCTCTAACTAGTATTAACAGTTATCAAAAAGGATTGCTAGAACAGTCTGGTGTTAATAGTTCAAAGTATTAATGGCCTGTGTAAGACTTCTTAGCTAGAAAAGATAAACCCTAAAATATTTTTACGTGGTCAGAAAATGTTTAAATATATACTTAGTCAGTGATACCATCTGTATTTTGTGATTCATTAAAATTGACAGTTCTGTTGCTCCTTTTCATACTTGCTGTAATAGCTGGATTTCTTTTGTAAGAAATTCCAATTAACCACACCTGTAACTCAGTAATATTAGGACACAACCAACAGCAGCCACCTGGTCCTTCCTCTTGGTCAGTTACTGTATTGAGCCAAGGCCAAAATAGAACTAACTGCCCTATGAACGTATTAAAAACCCAGTATCCAAAGACACATCTGCAGAAGGTACACTAGTCAGACAAGAGGTGAATGTGAACATAGTTTGTCTAGTACCTATTGGTTGGGAGACACACAATAGAAATCTTGTTACTATGTCACTGGCTTCTTGTAACTACGTTTTCTTTGAGTCACTGAAATCAGCTGTAGCCCTGTCCATTAGACATGTGCCAATGCTAACATGCCAGCACAGAAATAATCAGACACACAACAGAAATCTTGTTACTATGTCACTGGCTTCTTGTAGTAACTGTTTTTAATTTGAGTCACTGAAAACAGCTGTAACACTGTCCAATAGAAATGTGCCAATGCCAACAGACTGGCACAGAAATAATCGGCTGCTTGCCCCTCTCCCTATGCTGCAGTCTCTACACTTACTGAGTTTGCTCTGCTTGGCCTCCAGTCACCTTTTGTTGATCTGTGGTGGTCTGGGAGAATGGGTTCTTTGAATTTCAGACAAGAGTAAAGTAGTTCTTTGGTGAGTACCATGTGAAGCTTGAACATGCATCCATTGACTAGGTTCATTTCATTTGAATGAGAAAAAAAAATTGTCCGTAGGATTGGACAAAGTTAAATCTTGCCTTCCTGGTTTTTGTTCCTGTTCTAAAAATAGCTTTTAATATAAAAAGCTCAGACTAGGTAACACACTAGAACAGAAACTTACCACAGTTCCTCCCAAATCCCCAATGTTACAAAACAGAAGTTCACACTTAATGCCAACTTCTTAGAATCCAAGATATACAGTATTTTCAGTAGCCAAGCTCAAAAAATCAAGAAACAATGCAGAAACTTTTCTATCAAAAGTTTCAGTAAAATAATCTCATCCGTTTTCACATAAATCTGTGGAAAGTCTGCAGCCCTGCCTACCTGCATCTGATGGCAGTGCTGGGCAAGTTATCACCATAACAGACTGCTGGCCACAAGAGCACATTAAGTGGTAGAGTGAAGAAGGGCTCTGGTTCACAGCTGCCATTAACAGTGTTGAAGGTGGTCCATTCCTTCTTTGCTTTGGTCCTTTGGTCCCACACTAGCCATCAGCCTGCATGATCAGAAGGTAATGCACACATGAAACTATGACAGCACTGTGATTGCAGTTCGAGTTGTAAAACCTGGGTTAAGGCCAGGAAAACAATATATTCCTCTTTTCCCTACCCCGTATTTAATAAACCAGAACTCTGAAATAAATACTTTTATTTCATTAAAAAAAATCAGTATTTTCATGATTAAGGTGAGCAAACATTGTTTCAGTCCATCATTTCTGGTTTACATTATAAATGGCTTCCATAAGCGTGACTTCCTGACTCACTGTTTGCCTACATGTTTGTGGGAAGCTTCTGTAACCTTTTCTTGGTAGGAACTCCAGTTTTTCTGAATTCTTCCCTTTCCTTGAGATACTCCAGTTTGCATTCTTCATAGAAGGCTGGATCATTATAGCTATAAGAAGTAAATCAATATATTTCAAAATAGATACAGTGTAAGCTTTAATAACATTCAGATACTCATGAAGTTTAATCTTGAAAAGTTGACTTTCAATAATAGTCACCAAGACACAATAAACATTAACTAATGAGAAAACCATGATTTCTTTTTAATTTTGTAATAAAGTACATAGTACTAGAAAGTCTTGAGTTTAGTCTTATCACAGGATGGAACAGTGATGATACTTAGGAGCCCATGGTTCAACACACAAGGGCTGGACTAGAACCAAATACAAAAAGGACAGGGTTAGACATGGAAACACGAAGAGGGGAGGTGTCACTGAGAGCGCCATTGGGCCAGTCCTTGCAAGGCCACAGAAGGGACATGGTGAGGGGAAAGTGAGATGCGTGAGTCGCTCCAAGTGGCCTGAAGCTCAGAGTGGGTTGTGCATACAGCAGGAAGAGCCTGAGAGCACTGACTGTACAGCAACCAAATCAGGTTGGGCCACTGATGTCACACTACAACAGTATCCTGAGAGCAATAGGACAAGACTAACTGGATGAATGGCAGTGTATGGCAAGGCTAAAAGGGAACAGCAAGGTTTTTAAAGTTGGATCTCTAATAATAATATTCAAGCAAGAAATGATGGGCACCTAAGCTGGCCCAAAGGAAGAGCTGTGAGGATGCAAAAGGAAAGGGCTGATTGGTAACTAACCAGAATTTGTTAGAGGCAGACTCTAGATTATAGAAAACTAATTCAAGCCACATGACAGGGACTGAACAAAAATATTCCCTTTAAGACATGCAGAAAAGCAGAGAAACAGGATCTGTAGTGATTTAATCCAGGGGTACAAACTACACTTAGATTTAAGATTCTTAACAGAACCCAAAGAAACCAACTTTAAGCAATAGATTAAGGGAGACAAGGCTGAGGAGTGGAGAAATGTGTGGCCCACCCTAAGTCTGAGCCACACCTGATGGCAGCGTCTCTGAATGGACATGGTAGAAGGAAGCTTTTGCTTTTTGCCTGCTTGTTTTCACTCTCCCTGGTGAGCCCATCTATCCTGCCGAGGCCTGCCTTCCTTCACTGGCAGTGAACTTCTCCAGGATCCAACAGACCAAAGAGCAGCTGAGACACTCAGCCTCAAGGACTGAACAACTACTGGACTTTATGTCAAGACAGCCATTGATGGGCTAGCCTGACCACAGGCTGTAAGCCATTTTACTAAAGCCCCTTCTAATGTCTGTGGATGCATTCTGTCAGTTCTGTTCCTCTGGAGAATACTTATGTTAAACAATGTAACAAATTTCAGATGTGGGCTACAGAGCTGAAGACCTTTACTTACCTATCCATCATGGTCAACTAGAAGTCCCCACTGTAACTTTACCAAACCCCAAATCTCATAACTAAGATGTGGCAGGTTTGTTTTGTTTTAATCAGTGTTTTACTGCTGGACAAAACAACAGCTATTCTAACCCCTACCTCCTCCCAATTGTACTGTCATCATGGCTACTCAGGGTGATTTTGTAGTAGTCAACTCCTGAGGTAAATATTCATGTTGTAATTTCTGTAATAAATGTATTTCATGACTGGCTTCCCACATACTTTTTTCTTCCACCACATTCCACCACCACCTCCTCTCCCCCTCCCCGCACCCCTGCACTTTGCACCTCTTGAATCTGTGTAGCCTGGACTAGCCTTGAACTAGCATCAATCCTGTCTCAGTCTTTTGAATGTTGTGATTGCAAGCATGCATCATCATGTTCTACTCTCTGGCATTTTCAATGGACTTTTGGAGAAAAATCAGAGATTCTAGGCTGAGAAGGCAGAGGGTTTCTCTGTTCAGGCAATATGGAATGGGATTAGACATGGTTCTTCCTTTCCAATGGCTGAGAACAGAAGCACTCCATGGAACATGGGCATCGTGTATCCAAGGGGCATCCCCCATGCTTCCATATACCTAACATACCTGGAATGGGCACTGTGGGAGACAGGGCAACTTACAAGCCTATGTGACACGGGAAAGAGCTGTCTCCTGGTTAGTTTTCATTTCCCAAGATACTTCTGGACTGCTGGCCAAGGCCTTCAGGAGCTGGTTTGTCCTGTGTACAGCTTCAGTCTGTGAAAGGTGGACTTGGCTCTCACAGTGCTGTGCACATGCATCATGTGAGGGAGTCCAGGAAAGGCAGCTGCAGTTTATGGAGGAAACTAGGTTTTCACAGGTATCACCTACAGACTTAACAAAGGTGTTCTGCTACTGCAGGAGTGGGCAATACACCTCAAACACTTCTTTCCTCCCAGTTAAAGGGCTCTGATGCCTTTTATAAGGTCACACAGGAAGCACATACTGGCACTGGCAGTCACCAGGGCAAGGGAAATTTGACGTTCAGGGAAGAAATTCCAGCTGGCTTGTGACCAGGGTTCTGTGCTTAGGCACTAAGTGCTGAGCAGATGGTCTCCAATACACAGAGCAGTGGTGGCTTGTCACCAGGACTCCACACTGCTCACCGGCTTCCTGCACACAGACAGGAAGGGCCATAGTTTCTAACAATGACCAACAGATGAATCAGGCTAGGTTGGAAAGCTCTCTAGCCTCTGCACATGAGCCTACATATTCAGGAACATTCCAGGTTGATAGACTAGACCTGTTCTCCAGTTGGAGAGCACAAACCTTCGGATCGTTGTGTCCAGGGCCGTTTGTCCACTAAAAGCCTATGTGATTTGGTGGATTGAACTACAGTCATCTCAGGGCTTCCTGTCACCCTCAAGGACAATATACAACAGTGAGGAATTTAGGTGTGCATGTGTGCAGTGTGTGGCTTCTGCCTCTGAGCTATGACAGAAGGTGGGGTTGCATTTTGAGGAAGAAGAGGAACAAAGGTTTCCCCGTCTCAAATTTCTTAAGGGTTCAAGCTGGAGTATAAAACTGCCACACAGAGGGGAAAATGCAGAGTTCTAGCACAAAGGACTTTGCTGGAAAAAGCATCAAGGGCATCAAGATTCAGAACAGTCACCTGTCTCCCCATGCCCAGGTTCCCTGTGGGACTAGATGGCTGGGAAACAGTGAACTACACACTTAGCTGAGTGTGCTGCAGACAGGCAAAGATAAGCCTCTCTTGCAAAACTGAGGCACTTTGGATAGAGCAGTTGCTTACTGTACTGGCTGGTGTTATATCATCAACTTGATACAAGCTACAGTTATTAAAGAGGAAGGAGCCTCAGCTGTGGAAATGCCTCCATAAGATCCAGCTCCAAGGCATTTTCTTAATTAGTGATTGATGTGGGAGGGTCCAGCCTATGGTGGGTGGTACCATACCTGGGCTGGTGATCCTAGCTTCTGTAAGAAAGCAGACTGGGTAAGCCATAGAAAACAAGCCAGTAAGCAGCATCCCTGTGTGGCTTCTGCATCAGTTCCTGCCTCCAGGGTCCCGCCCTGTTTTGAGTTCGTGTCTTGACTTCCTTCAATGATGAAGAATAACAAGGCAACGTAGGCCCACTACACCCTTTCCTCCCAGGACAACTTGCTTTTGGATCATGGTGTTTCATCACAGCAATAGAAACTAACTAAGACACTTTCCATCTGCCCAGAAGATGTGGTTTTGCGTGCTAGTTAAGGCTGCACAATGCCAGCCTCCTTCAGTGAGCTGTGGACCTCTGGGCAGGCAGCCCTCTGTTCTCTCCATGTAGCACATGTTGTCCTTAGAGGAAAAGGGCAGCAGTCTCAGACCAACTGGTCTGCTCAGCTGGCACTTTTTCTGTGAGGCTTCCTGTATCTGCTTCTTTTCTGTAGGACTCAGTACTCTAGCCAGAGCAGACCCTACTCAAGTGATATGCATGCAGTCTCAGTAAACCTCATTAACAACACTGTTAGCAGGTCCCAAAGGAACTGGGACAAGTCTCACTCCCTACCTGGAGCTCCTCCCAGTACTTTTCATTTGCCCCCCTATCCTAAACCTCTCCCTCCTGGGGGCTGGGCTTCACTCCCACTCCCCCAGTTTCTCTTCTCTATTACAAGTCAGCCATTTTGGTTATCTCTAGGCTCCTGGCTGGCTCCTCTCCTGAATCTCTCTTGGTCTCTCTCCAACAACTCTCCTCTCTTGGCCCAGTTCCATCTGGACCCTTGCAGATATCTTCTGCTGTGCTCTCCCTCCCTCACATCTACAGTAAACCTGACAACCGTACTGAGGGACGATCATGTCCTCGTTTCTCACCTTTCCCCAGAGCCTGGAACCAGGACCCCTGTAGATCTCCTGAGCTACACTCATTTCTACTTCTTGAAATGTGTTTGTTGCTTTAGTTCATCACACTCAAGTAAACTATCTGTGTTCCCCCATAAGCATAAGTCTAAGAGGAAGAGAAGCGTACCTGAGGCGCACTAGGGAACATGACCAGAGGGAGCCTCTCCTCTACATAGAGGGCTCTTGTAAGGGGAGGGTCTAATACTAACATCTAGTTCTCCAATTGGTTCTGGATTTGTCAATAAAGAAGGCTGGAAGCCAATGGATGGGCAGAGGGTACAGGTGGGACTTCCAGGTCCCATGAGGAAAAGGCAGTCGAGCAAGGAAGGAAAGATGCCTTTTCTGCCATGCTTTGGAGGAAAAGGGACACATCAACCACATAAGACCTCGGGGGCAGCTGGAACATGTGGCCTCTGCTCTGGGCAGGTGGACAAAGATGTCTGGCAGAGACTAGGTGGAACAAGCCACTAAGATTAGGGCAGAAGGAGAAACAGAGATAATAAATTGGTAAGGGAACGCCTTTCCAAGTGGGAGGTATCTGTGCCTAGCGGGCAAGTTTTAAAACAGTAAAGCTGGGTGTCCTTTATCTGCAGATTCGAAGGAAGCAGGGTTAGGGCTGGTAGAGAAAAATCCGGAGCTAAGCCAGGTAGACCAAGAGGGAGCTAGGAGTGGGCTGGCAGTGCAGCAGCTCCTGGGCAAGGTGGCAGCGTGGTTTTAAAACTACACACAACAGGCTCTTGCAGTTCTTGCCCAGCAACCCCCGGCAGCTGAGACTGCCTCAGAGAAGCACAAGCAAACTCTTGGTTTTCTCATCTCTAAGGGCAGATACGAAAAACGAGTTTGGATAATCTTGTTCCTTTCAAGAGTGGTATTCTAAAAGCCTGTAAAATTACATATACATAATCTAGCCTTAAAATTACATAAGGGAGTTATTAAAGTGTTATTTTTTAATTTACTCTCCTGAGAAATCTCACACTATGCTCACATGTATGTTTCACTGGCTGCATCTGGAAAAACATAAGAGGGAGCAACAGCTTGCCAAAATTAAAATCTCACAACTACCAATTAACAACTTAGTAAAATATTGTGATATTATTTGTCAATAACGTATACAATAATGTATACATTAAGCACATATGGAGGTGGAAACAAACGCATTCAGTGAAATCTGCTTACTTCCTCCTTCTTTGCTTTTTTTTTCTAGACAGGGTTTCACTATGTAGCTCTGGCTGTCCTGGAACTCAGAGGTCCCCTAACCCCAGCCTCTGAGTGCTGGGATCAAAGGCTTGCAACACTACCTCTGCACACTGTCATTTAAAGCATTAGAAAAACTAAGCTGGGACAGTGGCTCCTGAATGTAATTCCAGCCCTTAGGAGGCACCAGCCAAGAGGATGCAGCCAAACTCCAGACTATCCTGGGCTACACAGTAAATTCCAGGATAGCTACAGCTATGTATCCAGCCTCTATCTCAAAACCAATAACAAAAAGAGTTGAGGAACTACAATTACGTACGCATCAAGATGACACTAAAATGCTGATTTAAAAAGAATTGCTTAGGTACAGCCACTTTGGAAATCAATATGATGGTTTCTTAGAAAATTGGGAATCAATCTATCTCAAGACCCAGCTGCACCATTCCTGGGCATATACCCAAAGGATACTCCAACATATCCCAAGGACACTTGCTCAACTAGTTGAGCAGCTCCTATTCACTACAGCCAGAAACAGGAAAACCACCTAGGTGTCCCTCAACTGAAGAGTGAACAAGGAAAATGTGGTACATTTACACAATGGAATATTACTCAGCTGTTAAAAAAAAAAACAGTGACATGAAATTTACAGGCAAATGGATGAAGCTAGAAAAAAAAAGTCATGCTGAGTGAGGTAACCCAGACCCAGAAAGACAAACATGGTATGTACTCACTTATATGGCATATACTCACTGTAAAATAAAAGGCAATCATACTAAGGTCTACAGACCCAGAGATGCTAAGTCACAGGAGGGCTTAAGGGAGGACTGTGAACCTCCCTGGGAAGGGAACTAGAACTGACATCATAGGTGGAGGGGTGGGGTAGGAGGAGGATGGGGGGAGTGTACTGAGACAAACAACTGGAAGTGGGGGCTCTTGGGGATGAGCTACAAACCTAGTGAAATGGAAACCCCCAGAAATCTATGACCCTAGCTAAGGGTCCTAGCAATGAGGGATACAGAGCTTGAACTGGCCATCTCCTGTAATCAGGCAAGACTTCTAGGGAAGGGACCGGGACACCAACCCAGCCAGCAAAACCATCAACCTACAATGTGCCCTGTCCACAAGATGTGCTGGGGTAAGAGTGGTACAGAAATTGTGGGAG